CCCGGGAAGAGCGCAATGATGGTGCCAACTTGGGCCAGTGAAGCAACGTCCTCCACAACTAGACTGAAGAACAAAATAACAGCAACTTGTCTGTTCCCATCCCCCCAATTTCCCAATAAAAATCTTAAAAAATAAATAAATAAAAATACTTCCTGTTGGGTTCCTGTATGGTGTAACTTAAAGGAGGAAGGTTTATAACAGACAAGCATTCGACTCCTGATTATGGCACATATTTGCCATAATCATACATTGATTATTTATTGAGTACGTACATGGAAGGAACTATACTTGGCACTACAAATAACACACACACACAAAAACGACAGACACAGTTCCCACCCTCACAGAGTTTACACTTTAGCATGAATGATGAATATTAAATAATTAAATCACATAATTTCTTGGGCTGATTGAGATACAGTGTGTGGCTATAGTGTGTAAAGGGAAACACACCGAGGGGGTTAGGGAGGCTTCCTTGAAGTAGGCACATGTAAGATGAGCTCTGAAGGACAGGTAGGGATTCGTTAGGCAAAGAGGAAGAATGCGACCATTCCAGGTGGAGGGAATAGAACACATAAAAGCTGAGAAGGTGAAACAAAACAAAACAAAACACTGGGCATTTGAGGAACTATAAATGGAGATAATACAAAGTATTTCACAGCAAGATCATGAGGACTGAATAAGATAATGTTATGTGGAATGACCCAGCCGTGTCTAACATGCAGTAATTGTTGAATGTCTTCCTTTCAGCCCAAGACCTAATGACCAGGATAAAAGAGACTCGGGGTTTACCCTCTAACAGGATGAATTAGGATTTCCCAAAAAGGGTTGGACTGTCATTGTTTTCTAATATCTCAGGATCAGGCACTTACCCACAGATGCTGCCTTCTTTATGCAGCTACACCTAGATTTTGGGCTTGGGTCTCAGAAGCAGCATTCAAACCTATCAGCCCTTCCAGGGTATTCCGACCTGGTGAACTAACAATAAGAGATTCAAGTATAAATAGTAAGTCAGTTGCTCAGAATGAAACTTCTATCTTGCAATATAATCATATTCAGTCTTCTGTTTTCTGTTTCATTCTATAAAAACAAATCATCATAAATTGCTTGGGACTAGGAATAGGAATTATATAGCTAAAGGGCCATTTCTATTTGTCAGTTCCTATCACTAGGGCTGAAACGTCTGTTACCACTAATGTCAGGAGGTCCCTCAGAGAGAATTCTAGGCCACCTTCCTTTCACATTACAGCTAGCCACTGACAATTTAAGGATCACAAGAAATCCATTTATGATGTACTCCTAAAATAATACACAAAAACAAAAATGCGTATAAGAGACCATCCAGCTGGCATAAAACAGCTTGCCCAACGTGAGTGGCATCAGTAAGTGGCAGAAGAGAAATTTAAAATCAAGTCTGTATTACCTCAAAAACCTTTCCCACAATAATAAACCACCTTCCTCATTTCACTACTGATGTGCTTATGCGCAAACGCCATCTGTGTAATCTAATCTGGATTCCTTCGCGTTATCTTGTATGATCAATGTTCTAAGGTTACAGAAACAGAGCACGGGCAACATGGGCAACATGGGGTCAATTTTCCTCCTTCGTTTATTTCTCTTTGGACCTTCAATGTAGCACCCTCCCAAACCCCTGCCCCAGCCTATATATACCCTTCACTCTTACAGTTCTAATATCGTTCTCCTAATTATTACTGAAAAATGAAGCCAGAATTTTTTCACTATCATTTGCTTCCTTTGCCGCTCTGGCCACAACAATTTACATTCCTCTTCCAAAAGCCCCGTCTCATTATATCATTGGCTCAAAGTCCAGGATTTTATTATCTGCATGAGGATGAGGAACCTCAGGTACAAGGTCTCTCAGTCTGGAGACCTACAACCAAGGAAATGAACTCTTTGTCTCCCTTCCCCCAAACACCCAAAATATGAGAAAGGGACAGAAAACATGTAACAGAATTCCCATACAAAACGAGAGGAGGAAAGGGATGGAGGCATATAACAATCACTGGCCCATAGCAATAAAATTACAGTCAGGAACTATGCAAATGATTGCCTCTGCAATGTTTCAAAGCACCACTGTCATGGGTGGGCACTCATTATGTGTATTACATTCTATTTACCAACTAAGACATCAGGAACGTCATCTTTCTAAAAAGCACAGTATCAACTACCCTCATGGATTTTAAAGGAAAGCATCTAACATATCACATCATCAAACCATGTCCACAGGGGCTAGCGACAGCTCTTGAGGGCAAGGAATAGTAAATAAGTAACTACGTGATATACTGGAGTTAGTCATTTTGCTTATAAATCAGTAAAACCAGGCTACAGTTAAGAGAAATCAGTTCTTTACTGAGATCATCTTAAAATTATACTTGCAAAAGCAACAGTCTCATATTCTGCTAGACCTCTTACACGACAGAAAAGCAACCAAGTAGAACTTAATTATCTAAAAACTCCAGTAGTTGGAATCATTTTGGTAACATTTATTTAATGCTGAGCCATATGTAGCTTTCTTTAGGTCAATTATAGTCTCTAATTTTTTTAAAAAAGTCAACCAATTTACTCAATTTCTACCACCTACATCCTGTTCCCTTATACCAATTGGTTTTTTTTTCAGTTACAGGTGACATTCAATATTATTTTATATTAGTTTCAGGTGTACAGCACAGTGGTTAGCCATTTATAAAATTATTTAGTGATCCCCTCCTTCCAATTAGTCTAGGACGCTTATATACTTTAGATTGGCAGCACTTGACACTTTGGTTTAACTGAACAAGTCAAAATACGGAAAGGCAATTCTGATGCTGCTCTGATCCTTCTACTTCTAGTCCCTGGGGACCCATGGTCTAGATCAGTCGTTCTCAGTTGGGGGTGACTTTACCCCCCAGAGCACCTCTGGCAATGCTGGAGACATTTTTAGTTGTCACAACTGGGGGTTCTATTGGCATCTAGTGGGTAGAGGTCAGAGATGCTGCCAATAATCATCCTATAATGCACAGGAAAAAACCCCACAACAAAGAATTATTTGGCCCCAAATGTCAATAGTGCCACTTTTGAGAAAACCTAGTCTAGACGGATTTCCATTACTTTCTGCATAGTTGATACGATATAATAAAACACACTTCAAACACCAATCCCAAAACACCATCAGAATCTAGTTACTTATAGCCATTCATTCAATAAGTAAGTGCTTATCAAGTAATCACTAGGTGGCAGACGTTATGAAGACAGAAAATAAAAAAGACAATCTAGTCCAGTGGGAACAATCAATTTACAAAATCCAGGCCCTTACCAGAAAATTCAATACTGTCCATTATATACTCCTATTAAGAGCCTCGTTGTGAGAAGTGATGGGTGAAAAATTACTTGAAGGACATGCGGTCCATCTCCATATCTAGGTAACAGAAGTCCTTGAGTTAAGCTGGTTGATATTTGAATTAGGTTATCTTAACTCCTTGAAGAAACCCCCTCACTAAGCTCCATGTTCAAGTTATGCTTTGAACACAGTAAGGTACAGTCACGTGAAACTAACTTCCCATGGAAACTGTATACATATCACTCAGTGCCACCTAGGTGAAGCTACAAGTACATTTCTTTTAGAAGTTAGGTTTGGAATGTTTCTTCCTCTCAGATGACAACTACGTAACTATTTCTCTTCACTCTGACTGCCACATCCGTTACAAAGCTAAATCTGAGGCTCAGCTCTATCTACTGTATGGGCCCTTAAGCCCAAACATTTGTGTATTTCTCCATCCCTAATCCAGCTGGTCTTCACTGGTATTTTCATTTTCCCTGTTCTGGATTCTCTAGTTATTGATACTTTATCACAATGTTATTAAATCTGTTTTTGCCATAAATTGTCTCAGTTATAAAACGTGGTCAGGTGTGAATAAAGTTAAAATTGAGGCAGAGTGACAAGAAAATACTTACAACAGTACTGCTAGGCATATGCACCGACTGCTTTCACAGCTTAAAGGAGATCCTTACTGAAGGCAGTGAGTGAGGCTCACAGAAAACGTCCTGAAAGAACTCGTGACTGAGCTGAACGCTGACAGACAGACTAGGTGTTACTTAAGTAAAGAAGATTTGAGGATAAGGAAATATTTTAGGCAAGAAATAAAAGTAGGTGCCAAAGCACAGAGGTGAGACAGAGCCCGGTGCATTCAGGAAACTGCAAGTGGTTTGTTTGCTTTTGCCAAAACAAAGAGCGTTTGGGGGAGTGGTGACACATGACACAGAAGACTTTGAACTCTGGACTAAGAAGCATGATTAGAAACATAACAGTCAGGAGTTTCCCCGCAATAATCCAGGAAGAAAAGATGACTCCCACAGACTCCATCAGTTTCCACACACATCAGGCATCTTTAATTAGTAAAAAGCCCTAAAACTGAGTAGAAAAGAATCCAAATCCTAGCCTCACCCCCATTCCCATCCCCTTACCGACATTAACTTTTGCAACATCACCTGGAAAAATGGGGTCATTCACCAACGGGTGTGAGAGGAGTGAGTCAATGCTCTTTGGACAAAAACATAAGAATCCTGGTTCCCAGATTTCCCATTCTCCTGAGCGTGTGATAGTATCTGGACTTACAAGCAGCTCCAGTGAGGAAAACTAAGGATCTGACAGCTGCTCATCTCTCAGGACAGGCAGCAAGACTCATGATTTTATGTCTCCAATTGTTCCGATCACAGTTTCTAATACGGAAATAAAGCTGTTCAGGGTCTCCGTCCTCGTCTCACTTTGTTTCACGGAGATCTGCATTTCCAAGCTCTCGGGTTCCAACAGCAGTTCTGTTAAGAACAGACAGCCCATGTCCTCCTGGGCACTGAGGTAGGCTTTCCATGGCTGAGCCCCAGCCCGGCTCACCGCGATGGTCTGGATGTTCACCACCTGAAGGGCCATCTGGAGGGTGTCAGGATGGACTGCTCCCTGCCACGGGATCACCTGCTGATGAGTCACTTTGAGGCTCAGCCACATTTTCTCAAAATACTCAGCAGTGAGCTGGTGATTGGGGACTAGCGTGAAGGCTCCTGAATCAGGGAGTTCTTGTACTCTCTCCTTGTTCTCTTCAGGAATCAGGGGTCCTAAAAAGAGTCAAAAAGCTTATGTAAGAGATGCTCTTAACCTACAGGAACTACATTTTTAATCCAGGTTTCCAAAAGTACACAATGTGGCTTTTATTTTTGGATAAATGGCTTAAATAGCCAATGATGAACTTCTTTCTGGCTCACAAAACTTCAAATTTGGGCAACAGTCTTGAGATTTAGCTAGGGTACTCTACTTTCCGCTCGTTGTTGTAAAAGATAACGTTTTACGCCAAGATATAAAGTAAGGACTATTTTTACCTGATGTGGCAAAGGATGCAGTGTTAGGAAGGTCTGGGCCACGACGCTCTGTCCCCTGGCATTTACAGATGGTTGCCCAGCGGGCTTTGCCATATATTGGCACCAGTGTGTTGAAGTCTGAAGCCCAGCTATTCACAGGCTTTTCTGCCTGATCTTCCAAAAGTCTAAGAGAAGGGTCAGATTTAGGGCTGCACAGGATCCGCTTAGCTTCATCAACGCCAGCTAAGAGGAGGCGGTAATAGAAGAGACCTCGGTCCCGTACTGCCATGTCCTTTTCTTCCTCTGAGGTAAGACAACAGATGAGTTAATTAAAAACAAAAACACTCTTCTCATACCCCTGGGCCAACCAAAACAGCAGGAAAAAATGAAGGAGGGAAGAAACCTTAGAAAACATTGACATTTTCTTCTTGGATCCCAGACATGACTCTCCCAATGAAAGGGCATTTTTACTATCGGTTGTAGCAAGTACTGTTTCCTTCGGAAGAGCCTACCTATGCAGTAATGTAACAGCCGCCCCAGCATGTCCTGGCACTCGGCAGGTCGCGAGAGAAAAAGGCGCAGCAGTGCAGTGAGGAGCTCCATCTTAACAGCTGGG